TGCCCGCCCTGCCCGCCCTGCCCGCCCTGCCCGGCTCGGGTTCGCCCGGCAGCCCCGGCCCCGGCCTGCAGTGCACTGCAGTGTCCCCCGTGAAAGGGAGATGGGCCCGCGATACCCAGGAGGGCCAGGCCAGGCCGGCAGCGGCCCGGGCCAACTCGTCTTGTATTTCACACGACACTCGAGAAAATGATTTCCCCTCTCCCCGTCCCGGCGGCGGGCTGCCCGAGGGGCTACTGCTGCCCTTGGCCCTTCGCGTCCATAGTCCATGCTCCGGGAGGTCTTGGCGCGGGAGGCGGGGCTCTCAGCCGGGCCGGACTCTATAGAGAGGTCAAAGCAAAGGTCAGCTGAAGGACAGAGCCGTCCACTCCGGACGTGGTCGCGGCCTAGATGGAGACAACGGTGGAAGCAGAGTCCGTGTCGGCGCCCACCGTTGTCGAGCCACCGGTCGACGTCACCGTGCTCCACCAGGCGCCGCGCGCAAACGGGGATGAGTCTCGCGTCTGCAGGACGTAGAAGCCCTCGGACCTGCAAGCAGCAGGCGAACACAGCCGTCACAGAGGCCTTCGGTCGGTCCGAAGCGCGGGCGCGACGCACGAAGCGGGGCTTTTCACTCACCTGCGGTCCAGCCACTGGCCGGCCAGCACGGCCGCGCCGCGGGCGGGGCAGCGGCCCATCTCGTAGTCGCTGATGGAGGAGCAGGACCAGCCCCAGAAGCCGGACTCGGATCGGATGGACTCGGCGAAGTACATGGGCGCGCGGTGGTGGTCGCATTTGAACCTTTCTGTGAGAAAGCACTACAAATGTCAGGAAAAGCCCGTTTCCACTTTCTATCAATAGAGTCGTCTTGAAAGTACATCCGTTTTTACTCAGATTACTGAGATTTACTCAGATTCATTCGACAAATTGCGAGCTCGGCGCCTGTGAGGCTCGGGGTAGGCCATCCCGCCGTACACGCAAGCACTGAAGGCAAGATGTTGCCTACCTACAAGGCGCTATGAGAGCTTGCACAGGCTGAACTTGGCAATTTCGTAAACGGACGCACTTTCTGGATGATCCGTTCCTTGAAGTGAACCTGAAGCTTACCAAAGAAACCCTCCTCGCTGCAGCCGGGCTGCTGCATGCCGCCGTTGAGGTAGAAGTCGACCTGCCCGCAGCGCGCGGCCTGCCCTTGGACGTACGCGTTAGTGTGCAAGACGTCTACGAGCACCGCGTCGTCCGGGCTCAGCTTGCGGTCCTTGTTGCTCGTCGTGAAGAAGGGTAGTGCAGGGTCGAGACCTGTAAATCCACACGCCGGAACACCGGCATGAGCGGCTTCCGTCACAAAATGGGAAATTTTCGAGGGAATAGGAAAATTTTCACCGCCCTACCTGATATCCTATCAAGAAGGTACTCGGGCCTCAGGTGGACGGCAGCAAAGGCCGCCGTTTGCGCTCCAAGACTAAAGCCGATGAGGTGCAGGTCCAGAACTTGGTAGCCCGGCGATAGCCCCGAGTCCTCTGGTGGCGGCCCGGACGGCGGCGGCCTCCGGCTGACGTCGAGCCCGCGGATGAACCTGGCGATACACTTGCCTACGTAGTCCACGTTGATGACGGCGGTCAGGTAGCAGGGGCTGTCCACCAGGTCCAGGTACTGCGGGGACAGCAGGTTGTACGAGCCTTGCAGCAGGTACTCTGCAACAGCGACAGTCGTCACTCGAGTTACTCGCTCGTGTCGATAGTGTCGATACCCCGCATCACACGGGGAGTGTCGACGACGCGGTGCAGCCGCGGAGTATTCCCCGCACCTTTCCTAATGTCGGCTAGCTGCTCCAGGTTCATGCCGGACGCGTAGCCGTGGATGATCATCTTGGTGGGGTGGCTGTTGTTGAACAGGGACGCGGAGATGTTGCCGGCGGCGACCTCCTGCGGCTCCTCCGGGTTGAGCCTGCGCATTCAGGAGGTCAGAGCAGTCGGAGGCCCTCGTGCCGCCTGGTGCAGCATGGAGGGGTTAACCCGCGTCTGTCTCGTTACAATCCAGTACACTGGATTCGATTTTCGTCAGCAGGGTTGCTGTACTCACGGTGTCCAAAGGTAGAACTTGACCTCCTCGCACGCGTCCCCCTGGGCCACGGGGCAGGTGGGGCTGGGGTGCGCCGACGCCGTGAGCAGCACCAGCAGGGTGGCCCCTGCGCAACAACAAGTCCATGGCTAATTGCAGGGGCTCCCGCCACAGGGCCCGGCCGGGGCGCGCGCCGATAGCCGGACACGGACGACAACCGGGCCTCGGCCGATAGCGGCAAGGAGGAGGGAAGGCGGGAGAGGGACTTTAACAAGGCGCAAAAGTCGTGCGTTGAACTCAAATGGTAAGCGGGCCGACGACGTTTTTGCGCATTGGCGGGCCTCGGCACCGTGGCACGCGGGTGACCAGACCAGAACAAAGCGCCTGTGACTTGTGCCTCGGCCAGTCCCGTAACACGCGGCCGCGTCACGGGAGTGCCTACTCCACGGGGGCTCCGGTGGAGGTCACTGGGGCGTGGACGGGTAGCAGCGCAGCGTCCAGCGTGTGCTGGAGGTCAGGGACTTACAGGAGCACTTGCTCGTGCGTACTGGAAGGTCCGTGTCTGACAAATCTTTACCTGCTGCGCCGAGTTCGAAAAGGAACGAGACCATCTTCTCGGCGAAGAAGGGCATCCAGTTCAGCATTCAGTTTGGGCACTCCTGTCGGTCGTATACACGTGCGAGGACGGGAGTCTGTTTAGCAGTTGTCTCGCTCTTTTTTTTCACCTAGAGAAAGAGAGAGCAGTGAACGTCTACACAAAACTGTTATGCGTAGTATGCGCCAGCCTTCACACTTCTGTTGTCTGTCTTCCAACATATATTCACGCGGCCAGTACGTCGCAATTCATCGGTTGACCCGAATTTCTGATTACATTCGATTACTCAATAAATCTTCCCTAGACAACTAAAGTAAAACTCATTTTTTTTAAACGACAACCGGTAGTAACAGAAATGTAGAAGTAACGAAGAAGAAAAGATTACCTGCGAGATACCGATAAGTTTTCGCACAAGACTCCATAGAACGCTCTACCTGTCGTTGGGGGCGGAGGGCTCCAGGATGACGGCGGGGAGGCGTGTCTGCAGCGGACACTGCGGCGGCGAGGAGGCGTGCACACCACACACATCCACACACATCGGGTGGCCCCGCCGCTACAAACACTAGCTCAACGGCACGGAGAGCGGGTGGCCGCGGGCCGATGGCGTCGGCTCCTGTCAAGTTACGCTTCCATTCGGTCGGACGGTCGGACTGACGGATGGGCGGACGAGTTGCGCATAGCGGACCTGGCGGACACAGCGCGGTGGCGCGGGGTCATTTCCATTCACCGAGGCCTCTCATCCGTGAGCTGGTCTCGGCAGGCGGGGGCTTCACTACACCACGGTTGCATGCTTCTACCGCTGTTCGATCAGTTGGCCACACAACAATTCCCCTCCGGCACGCCAGTTCCGCTTCCGCTTCTTCTCTCGAACGATTGGGCATTCCCTGGATCAGTACAACGGGACATGCAGGGATGTCTGTGTCTGGCGGGTCGCATTACTGCGTTGTCTGTTCTTGTTTGGGAGGTGGTGCTGGTGACGTCATAGTCCGCTTTCACTGACATCGCCCCCGAAGCGCACTGCTTCGAGGAAAAGGCGTTATTCGGAACTTGTTTTCGCAAAAAGCTATGGTTTGGCAGAAGCGCTATACCTCGCGCCCCAAGGGTCCTGCCAAGCCAAGGTCGAGGTTGCCGAGCCGGGGTGCCGCTCACTAAAGATATGATATGAAGTGTAAAGATGAATAAAGAGGCACATGAAAGATAACACTCCTACTGGATAACAACCACGTCTCCTCGTTCAGTTCTGTTGGAACAAAACCTCATTAGAAGTGAGCCATGGCTTCTGCTTGGAAAACCTACACAAAAGACAGAAAACTTACTTTCTTTGAGGAAGGTATATTGGTTATGGGAAATACTGAAACTATTTTGTATACTTCAGTTTAAATTTTAACAATTTTTCTTGCAGCTAAAGAGCTACAGTCCAACGACTCTTTTTACTTTATCCAAGGGGCTGATACTCAGCTGGGCTTAAAGGAATACTATGAAAATGACAAAAAAGGATTGCCACTACCAACAGGTAGGTATTGGATGGAAGAAATAGAACAGTCGAAAAAAGCTGTTGAGTGTATCAATGCGTTGCAACCTCGTCCAAGTTTTGTTGTGATCTGTGGTGATCTTTGCAATGAATATCCTGGTAAGTCAGATAAATCTCTCGTACCCCATTAGATTATATTTGTCTCTGAACAACTTACAGCACTTTTCTTTGAAACTTGTGCAATAAAATTTTTCTTTGATAAAACAAGTGCGAGACAAGGAGATGCGGGCCATGCAAGAAAAGGATTTTAAAGAAATCATGTCGAAAATTCATCCATCGATTCCTTTAGTTTGCGTTTGTGGAAACCATGATGTTGGTAACACACCAACAACTGAGGGTGTTGCTCTGTGAGTCATCTTGCTCAAAAGTAAATTAGAAGTAAATTGTGTGCTACAATCTTTTGAAAGTAAAATAATATGTGGTTTTACAGGTACCGATCCTCTTTTGGGGATGATTATTACTCATTTTGGAAGGGAGGAGCTCTTTTCATAGTGCTGAACTCTCAGTACTACTATGATCCATCAGAAATACCTGAGATTTATTCGCAACAAGAGTTGTGGTTGGATTCCATTCTTAATGAAGGAAAGAAAAAATCAGCTAGGATCATAGTATTCCAGCACATTCCATGTTTCATTAAGGATGCTGATGAGCCAGATGAGTACTTTAATCTCCCAACAGCTGTCCGTAAGCCTTTGTTAGAGAAACTGCTTGCTGCAGGTAGGTTGGCCTTAAAATCCAAGTTAAGCAACGGGTGTAATTTTAAGCAACTCAAAAACTGCTCATAAATGAAACCTTTATCATTTAAGGTGTGACTCACATTTTTTGTGGTCATCTGCACTATAATGCCTATTCAACTTACAAATCAGTGGAGATCATCACCACTTCTGCCATTGGATATCAGCTAGGTAAGGACACCCATGGAATGAGAATTATTAAAGTGAAAAAGAGTGGAGTGGAACACTCTTATCATGCCTTAGAAAATTTTCCAAAAACTATAGCTTTGTAAACTACTGTACATGTGACAACATTTGATACTCAAAGACAAATTTGAAAGCGAATGTTATCATTAATGAAATATTTTAATCATGTAATAAAATACACATGCAACATCTCAGCTTGACCACTGTATCAAACCTGTTCCTTATCTGAAATTCAGTTAGTTGTCTTAGCTGAGCTATTATATTTCCATTATATTGTATTTAGAGACTTTGGAATAGGGTCAGTCTTTAATTGCATGGAAAAAGCTTTTCCTTACACAGTCATTAGCAGACAACCTTCAAAAACTAAATTACTCTCGGGATAACACTACTGGTAGGTTTCCCTTTGCAAAAAGTATCAAAGTTTATGAGAGCAGGGTAAAATCAAACTAAAAAAAGACTACACTCAATCTCAAGATCTCAAAACCTAAGATAAGCTTTGGACCGTAGACTAGACTGGATATTCATGAACACTTAAAAAATACAAACTTGTCCATAAATCAATATTGATTCCATCAAATAGAATCAGTTCTAAAATAGTTTTAGTTAATATGCATCACAGGATCTGCTCAGGTAAATACAAGTAAGGAAAATACAAAATTACCATTAACTTAACTAAATAATAACAGCCCAATAGATATAAAAGATAGAACAAACAGTCGAATAATGAGAAGCTCTTGGATAATCTAAACTGCTCGGAGCCTCACAAAATTAGGAAGATTAGAAACTTAACTTAGCTAGCTGATGGGTTCACACTTATAGGAATTTCTTCAGGTACAGATCCAGTTTTCCTCTTTGGATCCCAAATTTCTCTCGCTTCCCTGAAGTAAAACGTAGAGAGTAAATGAAATAATTAAGTGCATGAATTTGAAAATACTGCTCAATAAATAAAACAGAAAAAGTTTTTACTCACTTTAAACAATGGTCAGGAAGAGTGACAACTTGGTACCAAAGGAAAACACTCATTATGGTTGACCATGTTCGCAATGGACCCAGGATAAAAGCCATTGTTCCATACGCAAGCCAAAACATATATGCAAGCATGGTTTGAAAAGTTAGCAAAGCAGCAAACACTGTTTGACTTAACCAGGTATCTTTAAACTTTTCCGGTTTACCTTTTATTTTCAAGAGCAATCTGAAAATAGGACACATAATCAACACTTAACGGATTAAAACAATTACCTAGGAAGTAAAAATTGTTAACGCATGCTTAGAACTCACTTTCTGTGCAAGTAGCAGGAGAGTAACAGAGTTAGTGGGAGTTGGACAAGCAACAGCTAGAATACACAAAAAAAAAGGAAAGGGAAAGTTGAAACACATTCAGTATATACACATATATGACTAATAACTGTGGATTTCATGAAACTATATTGCACCTGAAGAAAGCCATATGCAAATGTGAAAGATCCTGGCAAATATGCACCATTAATAATGATACCCCAAGCGAATATCACTCCAACGTGACCCTCAACAATGGCACCAATTGACCAGGGGCCTATAAACAGAAAATTGTTTGAGTATTTTACACAAATTCAGGAAAATGAGACATTAAATTAAGGTTCATACTATAATTAAGATACAAACCAACAGTTAGATAAACAGCGTAAATGGTCAGAGGGTAAAATATTCGATCAACACTAGAAAGAACCCATAATCTTCTGAGCCAAAGGTTAAAGTAAGGAATCCGGAATCGAGGCCTTTCCATTTTCTTGGCTGGTTAGAGAAAAGTGGATTGATAAGAATACAAAAAATTGTCAAATGAACAGAGGTGCCTATTATCAGACTTTGTAAAAGGTTTTACCTTTCACCTGATGATGCATATATTTTAAGATGCATAATGGTACTACACACATAAATAATAAAGTGCCAAATAAAACCTGAAACTAATATTAAAAAAAAAAAAACCTCTTAGTATCTTTAAATGTGCAGTGAAGGTACAGGAGGCAAAATAGTTTATTGTCATACGGATACTTACAACAACACTAATATTAGACATCAAAACAAAACGGGGCAGAAAGTTGAAACTTAACCGAGTACCATCAATGGAAAATGGATGAGTGACAGTACGATGCCGTCCAGTTACATCAACTGCCTTGACCTGTACAAGAAAATACCATCTTGGAATGATTGGTTGAATCTATTATTCATAGTATGCCTCTATTCTTATTTCAAGTATTTAACTTACATGCAAAGAGTGGATTCCAGAAGAATATGCATCTGGTGTCCAGGGAACTGTATACAGGGCATCTTTCTCATGGTTGGCATTTAACCAATCCCCATCATTGAATCGTACTTGTACCAATTGGATTTTGTCCAAGGAAAAAACAAGGATGCTGTAACCATGCATAAACAATTGTACATCTGAACCCAATTTTAGCAATGATCAGAAAGTGGCTGGCAAATACTCACCGAACATGTGTTGAGGATGGAGTAAGGCTTTGTGGTTCCCGACTAGTCATATGGTATAAGGCATGTTTTGGATTTGTTACAAGAATTGCTGGCCACTCACCATGCTTCAAATCAACAAAAGACAGTAATCCATGGTCGATTGCCAAGAGACGGAACCTAAAAACATTTTTGATGATTTAAAAAAAGAGCACCTTTTTGGTTGAAACCTTAAGAAATAGTAATACGGTATGTTTTACTAACAATCGATTATCCATCCAATCTCCTAATTCTAATTCAAGAAAACCTTTCTTCTGAAGGGTGTACATGTTAGGTACAGCTCCACCAAATGTGTGAAAGTGTCCACATAAATAAGCAAGAGACTGTGATTGTTTGCCAATCAGACTACGAATGTCTTCAGATACACTTGAGAGGATACATGATGTTGGATAGTGGCCGAACCAAATTGTGTAGTTGCTTCCTAGATAGATACATATATCATTTTAAAAACTGTTTTATGTTAAGATGAAAATAGGCAAGCTTCTGGCTTTATCTATTTTACTCACCTGAAACTTCAATTTCTTGCATTAGATTTTTAATGTGATTTGATTCTTGGGCATTCAGCATGCCAACAAAGTTAAAAGGTCTCCTTGGTCCAGGTGTAAGGCTGGCGTCAACAGCTAAAAACGAGTACTTGGTATTTCCCTTTGATAATTGAAACAAATAGGAGCGAGGGTTTTTTCTTCCTTGCTCAGAGTATTGATAGTAATAATTGAGTGAAGAATTGACATCAGGAATGTTAAAACTGTCTGCAAGAGGATATTCTTACCAAAAAAATCAAATTGTAGGAGGAAAAAAATAATCTCAACCTTTGATGAACATACCATGGTTTCCCCTAATATCAAGCCATGTCGTGTGATTGCCTAGGTTGCATTTATCAATAAGATTCCTGTAATATATCCACTCTTGTTCATATTGAGTAGACCCCATATTGTCTGATGCCTTTGCATCGGTAAGGTCACCTGTTGAAACAAACTGGTTACATTGATTCACATGGTAAATGGAAAAACAGTAATCCTATAATTTGGATGGTCAAATTGACTGCACTACCTGATGCCAGCACAACAGTTGGCTTTATGGCTGGGATGGTCAGTCGACAGAAGCTCTGCAAATCTGACAGGCGAGTTGGATCACGGAATATACTGATGTGTGTGTCAGACACCTAAAACAAGTAAATACAATTATATGTTTTTTTAAAGATAATAATAACAAAGAAAATTAGTCAAGCACAAGAAGCAATATATTGACAATAACAACAGAAGCAGCACCCAACCTAGAATTCCCGAGTTGAACGGTTTTGATTGCTTAATATAGATAAAAAGAAAAACCAAAGTTGTTCATAAAAAAAATTACCTGCAAAAACCACATTAGATTATCTGGTGAATTGGACATGACAAGGCCGGCACCATCAGGAACAATTTGTCTTTCATTTGCATTGGCTTCAATGGCTTCAATGTTCACTGAGATAATGTCAGATATGCTGGCAATGAATATTGAAAATGACGATATAAGAATAAGTAGCAAAAGGGTATTTTTACGAAGAGCCATGGTGGGACAATCTTCACATCAGGTTGCAGAACAGATAACGTGGAAAATTGTTCTGTCAGGTGGAAGCAAGTTGAAGCAGAAGCAATCTCTTAACCCTTGCGTCCCCCTTCCCTTCCCCTTCTGCTCCCCTCTTCCCCTCCCTCCCCAAACGAAAATATTCAGCAGAAAGAGAAGGCTACGTCCAAGGAAAAAGAAAAAGAAGAATTCACAATCTTCCTCTTTTCTTTATTTTCAAGGGAAAGGATAAAACAAAAAACAACAACAACACTACAACACCTCATCTGCGCACGCTGTCTGCCTTCAAAACACAGAAAACCTGTATTTTGTCATTGAACATCTCGACACCCAGTGCTACTGCTAAGTCAAACAGAAGAAAATGGTAAGTGTGCTAAACGTCAACTTTATCGTTTAATTGTTTTGTTGTTCAACATCTCTTTCTGCGATTACTATTTAAAGGTTATGTCTGTAAACCAGTGTCTCTTGTATTAAAATATTCTTTGATTGTTCTCAGCCGAAGGGGAAGAAGAAATTTATTGATAAAAAGAATGCTGTCACTTTCCATTTGGTTCATCGAAGTCAGCACGATCCCTTAACAGCCGACGATAAAGCACCTCAACATGTCCTGGTAGCTGCCCCTGAAAAGAAAAAGGTTTGTAACATACATCAATCTATCAGTTAGCGTATTCCATACAATTTTGCTGTCAATTTTTCTTTTGTACTGTGTTTAGAAGAAAAGCGAAGAGGAGGAACAAAAGTTTGGCATTTTCTTTGATGATGATTATGATTACCTTCAACATCTTCGCGATACTTCTAAACAATCTATTCAGTGGATTCCTGTTGATACAGGCAATAATTCTAATGCCAGAATCTTGAAAAAGAAGAGCAAAGATAATGACGATGAAGGGAGCTCTGACGAAGAAGTTTACATTGTTGAGGTATTCATTTACACCCTTCCTTTTATTTTTTATTTTCTACAGAACAATTTTTTTACAGTCCTTTTCCTGTCTTTTGTTTATTTTAGCGTCCAAAGCAGCTTACTTTGCCTTCCTCAGTATTTGCTTCAGAGGTTGAAGAAGAAGTTGGATTGTTGAACAAAGCTGCACCTCAGTCAGGTAGAATCACAATAATCTAATAAAGAAAAATGAATGTTACAGCATGTGAAACAATTGTAATCTTGTTTTTGAATTTGCTTTTTGCTGTAGGACTAAGATTGGATTTAGACCCAGACATTGTTGCTGCTATGGATGAAGATTTTAACTTTGAGGATCCTGAGAATGCATTGGAGGATAACTTTATGGAGCTGGCAAATGCTTCTGGGGCTTCTGACGACGACGATGATGATGATGATGCGAGTATTAATAGTGATTTCAATATGAGGTAAGTGGGAAATAAACTATCTAAGAAACTTAAGTAGTCACTCTTCTACAATTTATAAAGTTTTGTCTTTCAGTGATGATAACTTTGATGAAGACGTAAGTGATGGTGTAAACAGTGAATCTCGGGATGAACTAGGCAGTCTAAGTGGGCCGTGCCAGTTTGAAGATGAAGAAACAAAGTCACGATTCACAGAATATTCCATGAGTAGTTCTGTCATGAGGCGGAACCAGCAGTTGTCTCTCTTAGACAATAGATTTGAAAAGGTAAGACATACAGCTCTGGGTTTTGGTATGAGTTGATATCTTTTACCACAATCTAAACTGGTTTTGTTCCCTTAAATTGTAGATATTTGAAGAATATGATGACAATGAAATAGGAGCATTAGATTGTGAAGAAATTGAAGGATATGTCCCTCCTACTTCAGAGCTGCTTCTCCAATGTGCTGCTGAGTTTGGGAAAGAGAAACTCCCTAAGGTAGACTGTCTAACTGAGTTTAACCTTTTGCTTAACAATTTGTGCCTGTCATACCTTTCTTCTACTTGTGAACTATTGCAGGAAGACACAGATGGAGTTGAAAAACCAAATGTAGATACAATGTGTTCTTCAGATTCTGAAGATGATTTTCGTGATATTGAGATTAAAGGAAATGATGATGAAGACAAGTGGGACTGCCAGTCAATTTTATCCACATATTCTAATATATACAATAGGCCAAAATTGATATCCGAAAGAAATTCTGTAAGTTTGTTATCTTATCTAATTTTGTTTTCTCCCATCTTCTAAAGAAGAATTACAGAATTCTTAAAGTTGGTTGTTCTCTTTTTTAGAACACAGGAAAGATTCGTATCTCAAAAAAAACTGGTTTGCCAATTGGAGTGTTTGATTCAGGAAGTGGGAAGCTAACAATGAAAGCCCTTGCAAAACTTGATGCAGAACAGGAGAGGGTCCCTCAAAATGCTGCTGGCAGAGCTGAGTCAGTTATTTCCACTCTTTCAACTCTTTCCATAAGACCGAAAGAGGAAACTCCTGAAGAAAGGAGACAGAGGAAAAAGATGCTCAAGGAGTACAGACGGGTAAGATTTTATGTATGGCTCTGAGAAATCAGAAATCATAGACCCTGGTCTGATCTAATATTGTGAACACATAATTTCATTTTGCTTGTCTTACAGGAAAGGATAGGAGAACGGAAAGCAAATACAGCAGCCTTCAAGGAGGAGAAGAAAAGGCAAGAAAAGATCATTCTTAATAACAAGAAGAATATTCCTACTACACATATTCTATAGTCTTTTCGGTTGTTACAAAATTGTAAATACTCTATTCTGTCTACTCATGGGTAAACCATGAAGTCCTACTTGTTAATAAAAACTCCAATGCGACTTGTTGTTCTCATTATCCCCATTTTAGTTAAATCTGACAACAAAACAAGAGTAAACAAAACATACAAAACTTAAATTTTCTTTCAAAATAATTTATTTATTTAATTAGTATTTTACAATCTGTGCATTGTACAATGCAGGTTAAGTTACATCATTAAAACATAGAAGCACATGTTACAACATTGCAAGAAAATACTGATGAGAGAGAATGCGCAGATTAGTCTTAAATAGTGCATACCGCACCTCAGTCTTGCCTGATTTCCGTTAAAATCTTAAATGGACTTGACTTTACATTGGAAAAGAGCTATAAAAATAGAGAACATATTTTTCAAAAAATAAGTCACACCTACGCTGTTGGGACACCTAGGCATCCAGAACACCTTTCTGCCAATCATCACAATTTATTGAGCAATGGTGGCAAGTCAGTTTGTAACAACACAACTCCCACATACGTAGAACATTTGATAATCTATTATACAAATACCTATTATGATCTAATATCAAATACTAAATTATCACAGCCATTAGTTGTTGTATTTTCTAATACATCGAGATAAAAACCTTTCTTCTTAGACAAATGGACCAAGTATAGAATATCAATGTTATAAAATATTTAATAGACTTTAAAACTAGCACCTACTACAAAATAACTTTTCAACAAATTAACAATAAACATAAAACATAAAGTACATAACGTAAGAATGCACATACAGAATTTCTTAAAATTTGTTGTTACAGGTTTCACAGATTTAATACACTATCAGAAATAGATTAGAGTGTAAAAAAATATACCCACATGCAGCTGTGGAACTTCTAGCAAAAACTTCCAACACCATTGAAATTTGAATTTTTTAAAGAAACTTCTTTCCTAGAACTAATGGAATTGAAAAAAATACTAATTCAGTTAACTTATAACTTTGTTTCATGCTTTGGAGGTCCTTGATAGCCTCGTAAGGGAAATGGTGGTGGACGTAACCGTAGAACTGGTCTTTGAGGTAGAGTCTCATTGTCATGTGGAGAACTATCCCCAGAATCATTTTCATCACCTGAGTCCACATCACCTGGTAAAAACATTACAAAGTTTAATCATTAGCTAAGTCATATTTTGGTGCTTGAAGTGTCAATTTGTGAAAGGTAATTAATTAGAAACATACCATCACTTGAATTAGTTGAGGCAACAAAATGCTCAGTTCTTAAATTTTTTCTGGCTTTGCCCTGTCGATAGTATTTAAACTGTCGAGGTAGAGTGTATGACCGAGGCAATGATATTTGGGATTCCATGTCTGAGGGTGCTCTTTGAGGATGTACCCTCTGAGGTAAGCAATCAAGTGGGCTAGGGCATCTGTCCACACAGTCTGAGGATGATGGCATAGCCAAGACTGCATGACTATGGTTATTACTCACATTTACAGCCTCTGGTAATCTACAGGGGGAAAGAAATAAGGTAAAGTATTGACAATAATATAATAAGCATTACATACAATTTCCAAAACTTTGACTTGCTATTGGCACAAACCTGTATAAATGTAAGAAGCGAGGGGCTAACAAGATTTCTGGAGTGTGAGCCCTGTGTCGCTTAGCATATGGAGCTGGTTGTCTTACAGGTTGAGGAGCAGGTCCAGCCGTATCCCGTCGCTGAAGTTTCCCTTGTAAAATTTCTTCTTCAATCACCCTCAGTTCAGCCAACTGCTTCTGCTTTTTTTCTTGAAGTTTCTGTTGAATATCTGCTCGAGCACAACTACCTTCATTTTCACTTGATCCACCCTGAAAAAAGTAAGTAACAGTAAGTAAATAAGTAAAAGATGACTTCTCATAGAGATTCAGTTATTTTAGAAGAAAGATATCCTGAACTAACTTGATGATTTAATTGCCGAGACAGTGGCCTACACCAGAAAGGTATGGCATCAGGCTGCAATAGGCATCGGTCATCTTCACCACCCTCCTCTCTATCCCTTCCACCCACAGATCCAATAGATGGAGGTGGTACAAATGTAGTGGGCTTCTTCTTCTTTCTTTTCAATGCTGCTGCAGCTGAACTTGCAGAGGCATTAGCAAATCTGCAATTAAAGACTCCTGAAACAAACAATTTGGAGGATAAATGTTGATGTTTTCCCCTTGTCACTTTTTTGAAGTTTAATTTAATGGATGGAAGATGGATTCACAAAAATGAACTACAATTAAACTTAGATATTGATTTTACCTGGAATAGGCAAGCCTCCCGCTCCTGTAATTCTTCTAGAGTACATTTTTTTGGAGCCAGATGGTTCACTTTGAGTATTACTGGTACCATTTAAGTGCCTATGGGAGGCTTGATCCTGCAAAGTAAAGGTTGAGATCTGTTAATTGTTCTATTAAAATGTAAACAGGAAAAAAATGGTGAAAAATAGATTCTATACCATGTCTTTCCCCTGCGAAGATCCACATGATTTCATGGTCCCACTATGATAGTTAGGAGCATCATACTTAAGCCGACGCACATGAAAATATCGATAGTAAAGAGCCATGAATGAGAGGCCTCCAAAGAAAGTTGAAAATACTAGTAAAGGAACTGTAGATTTGTACCAGGGAGGATCAGACCACACCCCTACTAACCAAACTGCCACAAGCAGAGAATTTTCCAAAAACATTATGGTATAAAAAATGGCCTGGAAACAATAACAAAATATAGTAAAATGAATTGATACTCAATTCATTATGACTCAAACATTTAGAAAATTTGCTAACCATTTTCTGTCTATGATTTGACTCTTGCAAATTTATGAAGGCAAACACATAGATAAAGCCAACAAGTGCTGAGAACATCAATTTTCTTGAGCGAGGTAGCTGCTCTCCATAGAATGCATGTTTGGGTGAAATTAGCCACAAAAACATACAAATCCAATGGAGAGCGATGACCACAAGAACCCAATAGCCATACAGAGTGGCATAGATTGCTAAAGCAGTCATTCTCGACCAAACCGTGCCGAGTCTCCAGAAAAATTGAAATATAACACCCAGCCAAGTGAGCACTAGTCGATGAATGTTGTGCAGCCGTACATTTTTACTAAATGAGGCAAGAGCCCAGCAAACAGAAAATAAGGATAAAATTGTAGAGACCATATTTAAGTCTGAGAACTCCTTAGGCTGATTGCTCTGCCAAAGTAAATAAAGTTGGAGCAGAAGCATTGGCGCAGCTTCCACAAATGCATGTATGAGCCTAAGCAGGCATAACTCTCGAACCTGAAATAGATACACCTTGGAATGAATGTTTGGATAATTAGAGCTAAGAAGTAAGGAAATGTTTATTGAATTTATATTACCTCATGCTTGACAAAACGTAAGTCAACTGGAATAAATAATTTAAAATACCGCCATAAAACTCCACATTGCAGAAAGTGAAGAGTAACAACCAGATATCTAATTATTGTATGTCCCTCTGAAAGAATACTTGATTCTGCAGTTGATGTGCTGACATCCCCTTTCTCTAAAAGACCATTTCGCCATGAAGCCCGCAGATACCATCTGACAGAAACAATCTAGTGGCAAACAAAAAAGCTTAATGTACTAATATGCAGCAGGGTAATTGATAGTATTTGAATAGTATTTAAGACAACATACCTGGCTAACAATCAATGAAATAAGAATAAAGGATAAAGTGAAGGCAAACCAGCGCACTTCATCGCGACGGTATAGAGCATAGCTCATAACCAGATCAAACACAACATCACAGAAGTAGCCCGCAAGTGAAATGATGTTGAATAGCACATCACATAATGGAAGAAACTCATGATCAGTTCCCATCTGGATGGAGCAAAGGAACAAGGGTCTGCAAAATAAGAAGAAGATTGAAAACTGCAGGAATATATAGATTAGAATAATGTTTAACTTCTCAGAAATCAAAATAAATTTATGATCCATGTAAATTAGATGCAAGGTAAGTCCCTCACAAAACTGAAATAAGAAAAAAGAGTAAGGTTGGACATAAATGAAACTACTCCTGAATTAAAAAATAAAAGGTAATTGAAATCACACATCCTGGCATTATAAAATTAAGTATACCACAGGCACAGCAGATATTGAGCCAAATCATGGGATCAATAGAAAATCAAACAATAGAGTAACAATTATGAAACAAACGTATTCCGTTTAATTGAAAATTGCTTCAGGAAAACCTCAGTTTAATAACAATACAATATCCACATTGAGGATCATTGGAATGTCTGGAATTCGGTAGTGGTTTGGGGTTATAAGAAGACACTTCAACACTCTCACGAACTTCATTTGAACGAGACTGTCAAGGTTAACTCCTATGCGAAAATGCACGAAAGGCACCTACCAAATAAACTGAAAAATGCATAAAAATCACACAAAAGAGCGACATTCAACAGGTTTCGACGGCGAAGAATTGGTCATGGACGCCATAATCAAAACCCATCCAAACAAAAACAAAACAAAACAAAACAGGAAAAAAACACAGGCACAGTTTAGGGTATGAAAAACATTCTGGTCGTACCTTGCAATTTCTCATGACAAAGTCAAACCGTCGTGATCAAAATCACAACAACGCTCGAAAAACCTGGACGAAAAGCCGGATAGTTGTTGATCTGTTATTTCGGTCGAAAGTGGTGAAAGACCGTAAAGTTTTGAGTACATTTAACTGGCTGGTAAGTGCTTGGTTGCAATGGTGGAGAAATATTGAAAAAAGATAGGTGTGCACATGTTATCTGCCAGTACAGTGTGGCGGTAAAGTTCTTCAAGCTAGTATGATTACTTTGCAACTATTTTGATCTTAATTAAAGTTTTCTGAAAACTGTCACCAAAGTTTTGCGCCTCTCCCTTTTCTTCATATTATCTCATGTTATATTTAAGGTGCCTCAAATCTGTTCATTTTTGAAAAGGCGTGCTTTACTGGTGGTTTGTGTAAGGTTATGGTGGTTGTCTGTGCTGAACTTCAGTTGCCTGCAAACACTCCTGTATTAAAAGCTGATTCTGCGATTCAGTCTATAGCACACTCAAAATCAGACAGATTTCAATGTCAATCAATAATTCAGTAAAGAAATTAATGTAGCTATTGGCAATGTTGATTCCTTCCGCATGTAGATAAACTCTTGTAAAATATTGTGAATGAGCTTGTTAGACTGTATCACATGAGGTTTTAATCGGTGTTGGTTTCACATTAATGGTATTACTCTGTATATTCATTCTTGTGTTGTAGCTGTGTATGATGGAGGATAAAGACGACTCTTCTACACCTAATCTGGTAACATTGAATTTTCTCTCCTTTATTTTCTTATTTCTGAATGTATCTCTTACAATGCTATTTTGAAGTACTGTGCAGTCTTCTCTGAAACTAGTATTTAAACCGCTCCTTCTTTCGCAAATGCTTTTTTAAATCAAATTTTGGTTTTGTGCTGATTAACTCTTAGTATGACTGGTGCCGCTGATAAGAGGTTTAATGTCATTTGTTTTTTCTATTATTTTACATATATCATTTTGGAGTTCAATGTGTTCAGTTGCCAAAGTACTTTAATTCTTGTTTCTTTGTAGACTTTATCTGAAAAGGATTCTGCGATGGGGGATGCACCACAGAAAAAGTCTCGCATAGACCTGCAGTCCTTGCCTACTCGTCAGTACCTGGATCAAACGGTTGTGCCAATATTAATTCAAGGTTTAACTACTCTCTCTAAAGAAAGGTAAGTTTGAAGTGGAATGCATGGAAGTCTCTTTCAAAATCCACATCAATATAACAATTGTAAAAGATGGTTTTTGTTTTTGTTTCAGACCTTCTGATCCTATAAGCTTTCTTGCATCCTACTTAATGAAAAATAAGGCACAGTTTGAAACTGCTGTGTCATCAGCTTCAGGTACACCTACACAACCTTCAACATCAGCTACGTGATCTATTTGGTGCTTTCCTACTATTGTACTATATAATTGGCTGTGTATCAGTAACAGTAATGTTGTTAAGTGTAAGGGGACAACAAAACTGACATTCAATGTAATTCTCCTTTGTCATCCAGACTATAACCATTCATGAAATGTTTTGTTGTGCACCACCTACTATTCTAAGATGCACAGAAAGTGTGATAAATATTTCTTACCAGCTATCAAGTTTAGCTCACCCAGAATGTATTTTGTGGTTAAATTGCAAGCTATTTTAGATGAAATGACATAGGTGTAATTTAGATGAAATGACATGGGTGTATTCATTTCAAGTTATGTTAAACTGTAATTTGAACCAATCACACTATGAAGTCCAGCATAGATACCAATTTTCCTACTTATTAAATAAAGCCCTGAGTTTTTCAATTATGCATGTGATGTCTCGATTTGATCCTCCATGATTAACTCTTTGAAAACATCCATTAACAAAGGCTTTTTCAGTGATAAAGTGACGAGTGTTGTAGTACCCCCTAGTCTGCTCCTGCCCCCCTCCACTCAAGTGAATAGGATTGCGGCCCTTCCCTCCCTTCGCCGCACGCTCTTTCCTCTCCAGATGTGACGAACTGGCGTGTCTCTTTGTGACACTTGACATGACGTGCGCCGCCCGTCACACCTCGTCAGAAGACGTCAAAATTACAAACATGACAGGAGAACTGCCTGGCGAGGCCTCTGCCAGGCTCGAGCAGGACTCTGGCTCGAGCGAGAGTCTGGATGCTGCAGCTGTTTTCGGACCAGACTGAAACAAGATACTTCTCTCTTTGGAGTAATTTCTTGATTAAATTTAAACGATCTCGAGACTCTTTCAGGTGAGCCCGTACACTGCCCCATTACTTGTGTGTCTTGTTTCCTAGTCGACTTGTTCGACAGTTTGACGCCAAACGCTTAACCCCCGGCGCCGCTAGGTAGCCCTACCGCAGCCTTCACTGTAAATACCTGAGTCAGCTATCCTGCTGATTTAATGACCCGAAAAACCTCGCTCTCGGGAGAGGAAGATTATTTTTCTCACCCTATTTCCGTCAAAATTTACGGCCCTGAGTGTGGTTCATCTCCACAATTGGATGAGGTCAGAAGAATCTCACGCCATTGGGAGAGAGAATATGTTGAATATGACTCAAATAAGCCCAGTCCAAAATTCCTCACTTAGATTGCGCTAGAAAAATTGTCTCTCATTTCGAGCACGAAATGTCACTGAATAGTGTTGCTTAGATTTGGAATGCACGGCGCCCCTGCTCCCCCACTCGTTTGTCTCGTCTGTTGGGGTGGAAAAGACTTCCGAACTGAGTGCGTTACTCCCCGCGCCTCGGGCAGTGGGTTACGTGGCAGTCTCGGAGGGAAGACCACCGCGACCGACCGACGACGACGACGGCCCGAGCGCCGAGCGTCGTCTTGGCAGCCTGCTACCCGCCCGCCAGACGCCGCGGGCTACGTCCGCGTTGATCCGCGAGCGAGAGCGCGGCCAGGCTATGGGCCGGACGCCGGGCGACATGCAGGATGCACAACCTTCCTTCACAATTTTTCTTTGGGTTCGGACGCGTCCTCCGCGTAGTATACTATCCTCTCCGCTACGCCACGCCACGCCCGAGGCGCTGCCCCGGGGCGGGCTGGGGTGGGCTGGGCGCGATGGCTGGCCCACAGTCACGTGCCAAGGGTCCTAGCGGAGGGCACGACGTCGCGAGGCACGGCACGGGTTAGGCACGAGCCAACAAGAGCGCAGGGCGATCGGCTCCTCCAAGGTCCTCGCGACAGCTGTCGTCTGCTCCACGCCCATCTCTCCACAGCCCCGCGCGCCCGACCTCCACTTGACCTCCAGCCGCGGGTGGCGACCACCCTCCGGGCTCGACGGCGGGGAAGTGCCATAGTATGCTCTGGGGCCGCTGACGCCGTCCTCAGTCGTCTGACATCTCGGCGTTCCCCTCCGCTGCCGCAACATGATCGAGGAGGTGGAGAAGCAGCCCCGGCAACTCACAGGATCGGCCATCGTGTCTGTGGAGTTTGAGGTGTACGGCCAGGTCCAGGGTGAGTACAGCGTGGCATAGGAGTGGTGTACGACTCAAACCACTGCCGTCGGTAACCTCCGGCTCTCTCGTGTTTGCGCAGGGGTGTACTTCACCAAGTACTGCCGGGACCGCTGTCTGGAGCTCGGCCTCAGCGGCTGGGTCAAGAACTCGAAGAAGGGCACCATCCTGGGCAAGATGCAGGGCGAGAAGAGATACGTGGAGCAAATGTGAGTTGGAAGAGCATCCGGTCCGAGGTGACTCGGCGCGTTTGTGCGAAACGTCTGGCTGTGTGTCACTGCCACGGGCCGGGCCGGGCCGGGCGGGTCGGGGGTTGGAGCGACTTACCGCCGGCCTATCAAGGCCAAGGGCCGCCAAGGGCGCACCGCGACCGCGCACCGCGGGGGTCATTGCCTTCCAGCGGATGTTATCTAACCGGCCGATTGATTCGAAAGCGCGTAGCTACACCGAGCGCTGGGAAATGCAATGGTCTTCAGATTGAAACTCCTTGCTGGTTGGAGGTGTTCTCAAACAAGCGAGACAAAAAAACTAGGAACTAGGGGGCCAGGGTGGCGATGGCGAGGGCGCCGCACCCGGGTGCAAAGACCGTCCCCGCTCCCTCCCCGCCCAGACCCGGCCGCAGCCACACCCATCCCTTAAAATAATATAACAATGGGAAACCTCATTTTCTCTGCCCCGCTTTCTACTCGCCCCTCACCCTGCCCCACACCCCTTCTTTTCTGTCTTCCTCCTTCGCTTCTTCCATCGTGCTCTGCCCGCGCTCCGCCGCACCCCGCCCCGCGCGCCGTGGTCCCACCGCCGCCCTGGTCGCGCGCCAGGACGAGACAAAGGGCTTAAAGGACGGCAGACCTGTCGCTATCCGAGTGTGAATGTGCGTGTGTGCGGGGATGGGGAGGGGGGAGGGTGCCGAGGGGCTGGACCGCGGCCAGCCGCGTCTCGCCGCACCGCGGGCCGGCCGGGCTGGTTTGAGCGACACTACTCGCCTCTCGCCCGCTTTCTCGCTGCCCCATGGCATAAACTTCCCGCCAGCGCGCTGCAGCGCCAACACCCTCGGCATCGACAGCCACGGCCGGGCCTAGCCTGGGCCAGCACACGTCGTTCCGCCCCCGCCGCGCCCAGCTCCACATGTTTACGTTTCGACGTGAGAGGCGGGGGCGGTGCGGGAGGCGGGAGCGGCGGCCGGGTAGTGCAGCTGGGGCCGAAGTTACGGGGGGAGGGGCACGGAGGGGGCGTTTGGCGGAAAAAGTTATTTTCGTGGCGCCCGTTGGGAATGCGTCTGCTAGTCCATGGCCGCTTGTAGTGCAGCACGGCGCTAACTGCACTCGGCTTGTCAACGGCGGCGTCCACATGTACACCCCCCCCTCCCCCGCCCCTCTGCCCGCGGCGTCACGACCCCACTCCACCCCCACTCGTGTTTCTAGTGACTGACTGTGCAACCCCTGGCGCTGATACCGGCTCTCTCTCTGTTGTGCAGGATTTCTTGGCTGTCGAAGACGGGCAGCCCCGGTTGCCGGATCGAGCGCTGCGACCTCAGCAATTTGGAGTACCTCCGGAGGCTCGAGTTCCGGGGATTCACCATCCGCTTCTGAGCTTGCAGCCTACCACTTCTCTGCGGCTGTGTGTGCGTGCATGTATGTTTGTGTGTGAGTAATGCGGTAAAAAGAGTGCATGAGGTGTGTGACCTTTGGTCTAACGGATGAGGTGCTTGCTCGCTCAGCTCTCTCCTCTCTAGACGCGTATGCATGTGTAAATGTGTCGTGGACGCGGCGTGGTGTCTTAATAATTGTTAACAGTATTACAAGCCCGCCGCCTCTCCAGATATCGAAATAATTGTGATAAGTATCGAGGGATGGAAACTTCATGGCGCAAGTTTTACAAGGTGTTCAGTTATGTGTTTGGATAATAAATAAATGTTCGTACTGATCTCGTGTTTCATTTACGAGGGAAAGCCCCAACAAACACAACAAGACACTTGTCTCAGCCAGAGAAGCGTGTTCTTAGATTAAGCGCATGGTACTTGACTGGATCCAGTACTTACTGGTATACACTTCAAACGAGAACACGGTTTTCATGTCAAGCGCGAAGGGGACTGTTTGAGAACAATCTGGGGGGTTGATTCAAGCCTACACAATTAAGAACACGGTATTTGAGCCAACCAAGTACATTGCACTCGATTCAAAAGTAAACGGCGCTTGATTCAAGAACGTGCTTCTCCGGGTGTGGCGTCTCCGCCGAAGTGCTCGGAGTGACAGCTGGGTGCGCGCTGCTGGGGGTGGAGAGGCTGAATCTGGGGGAGCCTGGAGCCTGGGGATCCTCTGGGGAGCGCCGCCGCCGGCCCCGATGACCCTGATTCGCCCCGCCCCGGGTCGGGCCGGGGAGGCCGGGGCCGAGGCACCGGGCCGAGCGCAAGCCATCACAACACGCGACAGATCGCTCGCGTTTATCCCATTGACTGAACAAAAGGGGCATGATGATTGCTTCCCTGGACGTGCTGCATATTATCCCCAGCTGTAACATCAGCAGCAACAACAGCAGCAGCAGTAGAAGCAGCAATAGCAATAGCAGCTGCGAATCGACGCGCGCCCGCCCCGCGCGACGGCGTTGGCGCGGCGTCCCGAAGCGGAAGAGAGATTGTCGACGGAGTGCTTCGAACCACGGAGCACAGGGGTGAGTCTGCGCCTGCGCCCTATGAGTAGAGTGCCAGCCGCCCCTGGCCGCCCCTGGCCGCCCCTGGCCGCCCCTGGCCGCCCCTGGCCGCCCCTGGCCGCCCCTGGCCGCCCCTGGCCGCCGCGACAGCCCGTCATCACGCGTGTAACGCCACGGGGGTGGGGGCGGGGCCGCCTCAGTCCTTGACCATGGGCGGACGGGGGCCGGCCGCGCCTTGTCTGTCGGGTCGGCACTTACCAGCCGGCAATTCCAGCAATTTGCCGTGAAATTGCCGAGCATCGTTGGCAGACTAAGCGGCCCCGGGAGCGGGGAAAGGAAAAAGGGGTTAATTCTGTCATATGCCGTTCTGCCGCCGTCTGCCCGGGCCAGACCTCGCCTCCCGGGCGGGCAAGCAGCGTTCTCCTCGCCTGTCCTGTCCTCGACCCTCTGCCCTTCCAAGGCATAATCCCTCTCGATTCTTTCCCCGCCGCCTGCCAGCCCCACCGAATCCAATAATATAGTCTGGAAACGTGTTGCCCAGACCCTCTCCCAGACGCCACAGACCCCTCCTCATGCGGCGGTGCGCTCCGCAGCTGCAGTCCGGCTCTAGCTCGGTGGATCCGCTCGAGGCGTGAGCCGTCCCGAGCCCGAGCAAACACACTCAACACTAATGATCCTCGTCCCCACCAGGTGATATCGATTGTCCACTGCTCGCAAATCCCCAAGGCCGCTACCAGCTGACAGCCGTAGTGCCCATAGAGGGTTGGTGGTTGGTGCCCAGTTGTCGCGAGGTAACCGACGGCAGCACCGCGTTGCCCGCCGCCGTCCCTCCCTCCCTCCGCCTCCTTCCCCGCGAGCAATCACCTCCTTATGGGCCGGGGCTCTCCGCCCGCCCCTCCAAATGAAAGGGCCGACCGTGTATCGCCTCTCACATTTGGGAAGCCAACAGCGTGAGTCGTTTATGTACTTCACTGATCGCTGTTGTTAGGCACGGCGGCAGGCATAACGGTAACGTCAACGCCCCTGCCCCCCAAACCCACTTCCCCATCCGGGGGCTCTGTCCCATAATCTGCACGGCATAAGCAAGTGTGTGTTTGGAGACCGTCGTTGTCTCAATTGCATCCTCCAGCGAAAGGTTCGAACATCATTCTAAATTACTTCTCCTATTTATGGATAGTCCAGTCATTCGCCTTTACTAATTTGCCAAGTTCAGCTAGAGTTTGCAATCGGTCTGTTACTACCCCACGGCGAGTTTATCCGACAGTCTTCAGTCTCTCTCACTCCCACCAAACGTAAGATATGAGTGAGAGAAACAGAATACTGTCGGGTAAGCTCGCCGGGTTGGTAACCGACCGATTGCAGACTCTCAGTTCAGCTTCAGCCACAGCAGGCTATCATAACGCCGTACAGGTAGGCAACATGTTGCCTGTACTGCATGCGCGTACTGCGGGGTGGCCTACCCTGCGTCTCGCAGGCGCTGAGGCTGTGCTCTCATTGTTTGCCGAATGAATCTCTGAGAAAAGCGGACGTACTTTCTGGACGATCCCTTGACGGACAATATTAGCGAAGCCTTTTGTCGCCTCAGTCAGTAAGTCCCGCACCAGGAGGGCGGCCAACGAGGTGTCCACAATGGCGTTAAACAAGCGAGATTGGCGATGAAAAGCGTTTCACGCGGTGTTCGGTGCGCCCGCTCCGCCCCTCGTGGAGCCACCGCCGCCGCCACCTCGCACCGCCGCACCAGCACACTCGTTACTTGACGCCGTAAGTGCTTCCTTGTTAGCAAACGTTAGCGCGCTGGAAACTGAAAATGAGGTGAGCCGAACCGGCAAGTCTTTGCTTCGAACGCGTACATCACCCAGAGAAATGATTAGCAATGGCAACCATCATATGGTTAGCTCAGGGAGCACCATAAAATATGGTTGATGCAACCTTACCGTGGTAGTGAGAACCAAAAATATGGTTTTCATCACGTTGTCACTGTTGTCCCAACCATATTTTAATGGTGCTCCCTGAGCCGACCATTAGATGGTTGCCATTGCTAATCCTTTCTCTGGGTGATGTTCACCAATGGGAAGGCGCGAGGGGATGGGTTCGAGAGGAATAGGGGGGAGGTGTGGGCAAGTTTAAACCTCAGCAGGAGGACGAGCCTGCGACAGCGCTGAAGAATGAGGGGCTCGTTGAGGCACCCGGCACTGACATTTGTTCGAATCGCTCCACGCCACGGGAATCGGAGCGGGTGGGTTGGGGCGGCTGGGGCGGGGTGGAGCGCGTGCCGTACTGTCCCTATTCGTAATCTTATGCTTGGACAAACGAGCGAAGAAGAAGGCTGTTTGGGGCGGCGCGGGGCTCGCAGCCGACGACGGCCACGTGCCGACTCCGTTCGATAAAAAAGCGCTCCGCGCTTCTGGATTAGAACC